AAAAAAAAAAAAAAAAAAAAAAAAAAAAAACAACTACCCAAAGAGATAGAAAAGGAATACTCAATGGTGGAAGAAAAAGCAGGAAATACTAAGTTTTTGGAAATCAAGCGAGGTCAGAACTTAAAGAAATATAAAATGGCTAATACCAACTGCTGTGGAAAGTAGCAAACAGACTGAAGACTATTAGCCAGTGACTAGACTGAGCAGTCAGAAGGCTCTTGGTGAGGCTACAGAAAGGAAATGGACACTAGTGGAGTGTGAAGGCCATCTTGGGGGATCTAAGGCATGCATGAAGACTGAGAATACGGCAAGGCACAGGGGTGGGAAAAGGTCAGGAGCAGTGGTGAAGGAGGGAAAGGATGTGAGGAGCAGAATGGGAAGGGCCACAGAGCTGACAGCATTTAAAGATCACTGGATTGAATCTGGAGAAAGAATCATGGCCCTCAAATTTTAAAGTGGCAAAGTTTATGTTGATATCTGTAGCTGTGCAGTAAAATCCTGAATGAATATTGTGTTTGTCTTGCCTTGGAAACAGTGAAAGTGAAAACACAGGTTAGCTATGGAATTTGTCAGGTTGACAGGTTATGTTTTGGTTTAGAATGAACTGTCTTAAGCAAAGCAGTTAAAATTAGCTAATGCTAAGGACAAGAGTGTCTGAAGATAGAACTGAAGGAGGACAAGGTGGTGGAGGTATAGGCACAGTCGACACCTGTACCAGCAGACATCCTAGGCAATGACATGACATTCTAAACAGTTACATGATCTCTGAGACCTAGCTAGACTCTCTGCTTTCTGTGCAGAAGCCTCTAGCAGAAGCTCAGCATCTGAAAAATCTGTGTTCACGGTGGCCACTATTTTGTGTTGATGACTACCCATATCCATCTTGGAAGGGCTGTCAGGGATGTGGGGGCATAACTGCTGCCAACTACCAGGGGAAACCAAACAGGTCAACTGCTTTTAAGAACTAAGTGTTAGGAGAATATAAGTTGTTGTTGTTGCTTTTTTCTCCCACTCAGGTCAATTAGGGATAGGAAAGAAATTATTTCTACTGCTAAAATAGGTGCTGTGGAAAGATTCCAGGCAGGCTAAGGCCACTGTCTCTTGAGACCAAATGAAGGAAAGGACCCACAGCAGAACTCTGCAATCTCCCAGATCCAAGTGTTGCTGCACATCCAGTAGTTAGAGTGGAACAAGATCTTGAGGTAGGCGACAAGCAAGATGTGGGAGACTAGAAAGAGTTTTTGCTCAAGGTACTGTACCACCTGCTCTTATGATTAGGGGTTTCACTCACAGAAAACGACCTGTATCTATCCTTGCCTATTTTTATTATTAAAGTTATGCCAATACACAAGATAAAATGTATTCAACAAGTTCTATGTTTACTAAGAAATACTTTTAAGTCACACATGAAAAGTCCTCCCTCTTGTACTTTTTTCTTGCTTTTCTTTTCTTTTTTTTTTTTGGATGGAGTAGGGAGTGAAGGGAAGGTCAGATATAAAACCCTATAAGGGCAACATTGATAGAAAAACCTAAATATTGTGACAGATCAGAATTAAGAGTTCTTATTGAAGAAAAAAATATTTCCTATGTAAAGACATGTCTGGTTTTGATTTAACCTATAATTTAATAAGTTTATAATTTTCTAAAAATTGTTTTTGAAGAAATGATTAACAAAGAGAAACTAGTAATCAGTTCATTGATCATACCTGAGAATATGGCAAGAGTTAGCTCAGGATACGCCCTTGCTAGTTCCTCGGACAACTGATAATATGAAACAGAATACAGGTGTGGTAGAGGAGACAGCTGGCTGAGTACTCCATCTGTTCTCTGAACCTCCAATTTGTGAGCATAGCGAAACATCTTCGGTTCCAGAATCTACAGAAATGTAATTCCATCAACTTAGATTAAGATTTTATAGGTCCTCTAAAGTTTAACCAAAATTTTATATTTTTTAAAGAACTCTTCTCCCAAGGCTGAATGCAGTGGCTTACACCTGTAATTTCAACACTTTGGGGGGCAGAGGTGGGAGGTTCACCTGAGGCCAGGAGTTTGAGACCAGCCTGCCCAACATAGCAGAACCTCATCTCTACAAAAAATTTAAAAATTAGCCAGGTGTGGTGGTGTGTGCCTGTGGTCCTAGCTACTCGGGGGGCTGAGATTGGAGGGTTGCTGAGCTCAGGAGGTAGAGGCTGCAGTGAACTGTGACTGTGCCACTGCACTCTAGCCTGGGCGACAGAATGAGACCTTATCTCAAAAACCAAAGGAAGCAAAACAAACAAAAACCCTTTCTCACTAAAAGAATTTACTTTCCTCATATTGAATGCCAATGATCCAGATCAGTAACATAGTCTGAAAATAACTCCAGCAACTTAATATACAATTACCTGAAAAAGATTTACCACTTTTCCCACTCAAAAATATGGTAGCATAATATAAGTGAAAAAAGACAACAACCCTTAAAGCAGATCCTTTTGACATTACACTATTTAAAGAACTATACTGCTGAACTTTCCTCTTAATTAACCAAGGCATTAGGGTATAATTCCTAAGATGGACCTACTGGCATCAGAACCACTTCAGAGCCTTTGGAAAAAGCATCTACCTGAATCCTGTTCTTCTTAGCCCTTGGTTAAGAGGAAAGAATCTTACTCTATTATGTATTAGTTAAATACTGCATATTAATAACAGATCTGTGTTTGGTAAGTTAACTTTCTAAGTTATTTATCCTGAATCCAATAAAGAAAAGTTACATGAGAATATGATAAAAAGAGCTAATTATTTTTCACATGGCTCTCCAAAAAAATTCTGACACATATTGTTCTCATGGGCTGAACAAAAATACTTACATGGACACATCTTTACAAGTACCTTTGTGTACATACACACACATTATTATACATAATCCTTCTACAAAACACTTAGGAATAGTTTGCATTATTTATAAATTTAAATATCTATATTATCTTTGTCTTATATTTCTAATAAGACTTGATACCACAATTATTATAAATAAAGCTAAATACTATGTTTTAATGGCAAGATTAAATTATTGAGCTTCATTAAATCCTGAGTAAAAAATATTTAAATTAACATGTTTACAAACCTGTAAAAGTTGCATAGCAACTTCATAGATACTTCTAGAAGAATCAGCTGCTTTAAACAGTATCAGATTTAGAAGCATCACTGTGTCACACTGATAATCCCTAGGAATAAATTTTACATATTAGGTAAATAACAATGTCTAAAGGCTTTTGTACCATTTAATAAATTTGATACGCAAAGGGCAAGGCTTATAGGCACATGTATTCTAAGCCTATGAGCGGACTTGGATTTTTTCAAGGCAATAAATACAACAGATGCATGGTGATCATTATCCTTATTTTGGTTAAATTCCGTTAGAACACAGGTGTTCAACCTTTTGGCTTCCCTGGGCCACACTGGAAGAAGTAAAACTGTCTTGTGCTACACATAAAATATACTAAAAACAGCTGATGAACTAAATAATAATAATAATAATAAGCTCCATGCATAAGTTTTGTAATATCCACCACCACAGATAAGCAAAAAAGGCCTCACATTCAAAGGGTTGGACACAGCTGCATTAGAATTTAAGAAAAGAAAATACAGTCAACCTTCTGGGGATCAAAAATACGTGGGAAAGGCCAGGTACAGCAGCTCATGCCTGTAATCCTAGCACTTTGGGAAGCCAAGGTGAGAGGCCAGGAGTTTGAGACCATCCTGGGCAACATACATAGTGAGACCCTGTCTCTACAAAGAATTTAAAAGTTAGCCGGGCATGGTAGTGGGAGCCTACAGTCCTGGCTACTCAGGAGGTTGAGGTGGGAGGACTGCCTGATCCTGGGCGTTTGAGGTTACAGTGAACTATGATCATGCCACTGCACCCTAGCCTGGGTGACAGAGCAACACCATGTTTAAAAAAAAAAAAAAAAAGTATATGGGAGGATTTGCATAAATACAAATACTACTGCATTTTCTACAGACAACTTGAGCATCCATGGATTTTGGGATCTGAGAGGTGTCCTAGAACCAATCCCCCACAGATACTGAAGGACAACTAGACTGGTGTCTTCATATTTTTGAATTCAAAAGAAAAACTTTTCTTTAAGAAACAAAGAAAAAAAACCCCTAAGATAGAGAGATCTGTATCTAATGTACCTGTTCTGGAAAACATTAGCAATGGCTTTAAAGCAGCCAGCCGCCACCCTCCTGGAGCCCGTGTAGCAGCGGTCCACAGCCCAGTACATCAGGTTGCTCTGATCAGGGTTCAGCTCCAGCAACAACGTAACTGCTTCACAGCCCAGCTGGTGAACCTAGGCAAAGGTTGCAAAATTGCCCAAGAGAGATATTATATATTTTTTGTCAATTTCCCTACAGTTCTTACTAAAGTAATATAGAGCATATATTTACTGCATTTAATAGAGAAATTCCATCTCCTTTTGTTCACCTCCCTCTCAGTTTATTCAGCCAGCAGAAAAAAAACACACGGATGAATTGCATTTGGCCTCTTGCTTTTTACACAAGCCTCTCTAGTGCAATTCTGACTTCTAACAGAGCCCTCAAGGCAGTTAATGAATATGAATAGTGATTAAGTGCTTTCAGAAAAATGAGTCATTAACCTCTCCAATTAGTTTTATCAAGCTTTATTCTTGTTTTTGATGACCCAATAGAAAAATTGTTCTGAGGGGAAAAAATATAAGCCCTATTAAATCGTGAAGTCTGTGTACGTACAATATGAGAGTAAGGAAGGCAAAGAGTGTGGAGGGCAAGGAGGAATGATTAATTGGAAAGTGGTTAAAAAAGTAAAATGAAACACAGCAAATAACAGATTTCTTCCATGCAGCTCAATATATTCTATATTAATATCTTATTTATTGACCTAGAACCCTGTTGAGAGACACACATCCCTGTGTTAATCCTATAATTATTAAAGAGAAATTAAAATTATTCAAATTAATGATACGTAAGAATTAGAACATTTTTACATTATGGGATTCTATTTAACTTTACATAATATGCTTTTTGCATATAATCCTAACCTATCTTATTTTTAAAAAGACTTGTTTTTAGTGCAACATACATTTACTGCCAATAATACAGTGACAATTTATTATGAACCCTTAAGGAAACTGACATAATTACCTTTTTGTCCAGAGAATCCAAAATGTTATCCAGCCATTTGTACAAATAGCCATCTGATGAAAGTCCTACATTATCTGCAACAGGGCCACAACATAGTACAGCAGACATAGCCTTCAAATAATAATATTAAAATTACATTTAACAAGTTTAAGAGGGTAAATATTAGTTGCTTAATGAGAAGAGGCAAATTACTTATCTAGTCACAATACTTTTATTTTTTTCTTTACAAATTATTTTTTAAAACTGAGAAATTTATTACGGGTAAGTAAATATGAAACCAAATAAGACATGGAGTTTGAACAGTACTGGAAGGGAAGATAAAAAGATCAAGCAAAAGTACTTAAGGGGAAAAAAAAAGGCACTTCTTTCAAGTAGTCCTTAGTTCTTTAAGATAATGGTGATCAAATTTGAGTAGATTCTGGAACTCTTTTTCATTGTGTATTTTATGTACTTAAGTAAAAGTTATGGTATAAGTTTTGAATATGGCAGAAAAACATATATTCTAATACTCTCTGATACTTCGAAGAAATTCTTATCTTCTTTATGATACTAGTGACTGAACATAAAAATATTTAACTCTGCTCCTAAGAAAAAAGAAATCAGGTTTCTAAGTAAATACCTTTAATGCACAGTATTGATGTCTATTAATCTGCATATTTCTATCACTGTATCTGTCCAAGGGCGTAAACATGATGCTGAAAGGACCTGCCCAGTGACTGAACAGCATAAACAGACTGTGACGAAGGCTCTGTTGAGGAAAAATACTTCTTCTCTGGTGCACTGCAAGTCAAAAAAAGAAAGAAAATGTTTATTTCCATTTCTTTTTGCTTTAACTTTTATGCTAACATGTTACTGAATGTATAACACTGTAAAAAAGAAAGCAAAAGTTTTCATTTCAAACTACCAAAACCTCTGCCATAGCAGGGATCATTTATGTGTGTGTGTGTGTGTGTGTGTGTATTTATATATATACATGCAAATCACAGAAACAGAGTTGCAGTCTGTGTCACCCTGTTGCAGCATTACATGACACAGAGCTTCTCCACAAGCAGAAATTCCATGACAGGTTCAATGGCACATGGAGGCTGGCATAGAGGTGAGGCCACGAGCCCGTTTCTCCCTGGGCTATCACTGGCTATATGGCAAGATTGGCCAAGATTTTAACATAGACTCACCTCTGTATCTTGGTTCATTGGTAAGTAAGGGCTTTGACTGAGATACGTGTTTTTAAACTTTTTTGTTTTTGTTTTCAGCAGGAAAGCCTTTTTCTGCTAAAAGAGGCTTACAAGTAATCTTAATATATGAAATAGGTAGAAGGAGAGTTGAGGCCTGGTGTCCAAACACATTCTGCTGCCTTCTGCTGATGGCACCAGAGAACCTCAGGGCTTTCAGAAATAGCAAAGTTTGAAAACCACTGGTTTCAATGATCTCCAAGGACTTTCTTCACCTATTTTGAAATTCTACCATATAATTTCTCTATATCTATCCTTCTTGAAGTAACTCAGCAGTATCACAATAAACCAATGTGGAAGTTGTAAAAAAGTGTTTGGTAACAGACTAAACCATATCTTTACATTAGTGAGCTTCAGATCAGAAATTTTTGAAAAAATACGCTCTTTTTCTTTAATAGTGTCATTTTTCCCCAAAGATCAAAACAAGGCTCCTACACTTGAAATTGACATATGTACTTAGTGCTTAATGACCCTGTTATAAAATACAACCCATGTTCTTTAGACATCAACTGTCTGTACATACTATTCAAAGTAACAATGCAACTTTAATTTTTCAGGGAGAAAAAGAAACATTTGTATTTATACTATAAGCCAAAGGCTAGAGTCACATTACTTCCTATATTTATAAAGAATTTAACTTTTTTTTTTTTGGAGAGAGAGTCTTGCTCTGTTGCCAGGCGCCAGGCTAGAGTGTAGTGGCGCAATCTCGGCTCACTGCAACCTCCACTTCCCGGGTTCAAGCAATTCTCCTGCCTCAGCCTCCCGAATAGCTGGGACTACAGGCACGTGCCACCACACCCAGATAATTTTTGTATTTTTTAGTAGAGACAGGGTTTCACTGTGTTGGCCAGGATGGTCTCGATCTCTTGACCTTATGATTCGCCCACCTCAGCCTCCCAAAGTGCTGGGATTACAGGTGTGAGCCACCACGCCTGGCCAAGAATTCAACTTTTAAAAATGTAATTGTGTATATTAATCTTCCTAGTAGCTTAACCAGTACCTGTCAATATAGAATCTACTCAATAATTGGAACATATCTGGTAAATCAATAGCATTATATTCTTGTTACATTTTGTATATATGACCTATGCTCTTTTCCCATTATTCAAAAGTATCTTCTTAATTTTATTCTCAATTATCATTTGAAACATTACACTCTGCTTACTGCATCTAAAACAAGCTTGTCTAAAATGCTTACTCTATTGATTTCTCCAGGTTCTTGTGTCAGTATCCTCATTATTGTTGAAATTCTATGCTGGGTTGCTTTTTTATTTGTAATAATTGACAATAATTCAAAAGGAAAACAAACTCCAGCCATCCATGTTATGTTGACATATTTTTCCAGTATGTTCACAAGTTACTTTATCAACTTAGATTATTAAACCTCAAGGAAAGAAATAATACGACGATTCCTTAATACTCACTAATGCTTTAAGAAACTGAAAATAATACCTGGAACATTCTGAATAATATTCGCCACTAAGGCACTAAAATGGCATCGTATATCCTTCAGTGTGTCAGAGTCTTTTTCATTTTCTGCTTCCAGGAGTTGTCTAGTTAAATCTACATACTCCAATAATGTGTTGTTGAGAAAATGTGTTTCATTATCAAGGCCACCACTTGCACTGAAAATATTGAAGAAAACAAATGATAAAGAAAATGGGACTTTAAATTATAATTTAACTAAAAAATTCTTAATACTCAAAATCAGAATAATACATGTTAATTTTGCACTGTCATGGTAGCATGCAACTTAATATATGAAAATTAAATCAACATGATTTTGCTTATTTTAATATGAAAATGGTGCTTCTTAATCTAGGAACTGCTATTGCAATTTATATTATTCAACTCCATATCTAGCTTTAATCAAGTGAGTGCTAAATGTTGAAACATAGAGCTTTCTAAATAAAGAGACCGGGAGGCATATGAAATGGGGAGGATCAGTTTAGGAAGGTAGAAAGAGGAAAGACTAGTTCTATTTATTCATAGTTGCCATGTCTACTCATATTATGCATTCAGCAAAATTAAACATCTATTAGCCACTTATTCTCAGTAAGATTCTGGGAGAGGTATTATCAGGGATACAAAAATCTAAGCGAATTTGGCCAGGCATGGTGGCTCATGCCTATAACCCCAGCACTTTGGGAGGCTGAGGTCAAGAGATCGAGACCAGCCTGGCCAACATGGTAAATGGCCCATCTCTACTAAAAATACAAAAATTAGCTGGGTGTGGTGGCATGCACCTGTAGTCTCAGCTACTGGGGAGGTTGAGGCAGGAGAATCGCTTGAACCTAAGAGGTAGAGGCTGCAGTGAGATGAGATGGTGCCACTGTACTCCAGCCTGGGGACAGAGCAAGACTACATCTCAAAAATAAATAAATAAATAAATAAATAAAAATAAATCTAAGAGAATTCTGGTAAGAATAGGGTAGAGTACTGGGTTTTGAACCCTCTTTCTAGACCTATGGAATTGCCTTTAAGAATATCTGCAATGCGCTGGAAGCGGTGGCTCACACCTGTAATGTCAGCACTTGGGGAGGCCAAGGTGGGTGGATCACTGAGTCCAAAAGATTGACACCGGCCTGTGCAACATGGTGAAACCCCATCTCTACAAAAAATTTGCCAGGCTTCGTGGTGTGTGCCTGTAGTCCCAGCTACTCGGGAGGCTGAGGCAGGAGGATTGTTTGCACCTGGGAGAACTGTGATCTAGTCACTGCATTCCTGCCTTGGTGACAGAGCAAGAGCCTGTCTCAAGAAAGAAAAATATCTGCAATGAGATTTTCTTTGAGGCAAGGGATCTATGTCTGTGCCTGGAAACCAATGACTGACTGATAGAGGGGTATCTGGTTAGTCAGAAGTCCTGGATTCCTGTCTTGTTTCACCAATCATTAAGCATGTATCCAGTATGTACCTTAGAGTGTTTGGTAAGGATATAAATGAATTGCAACATATGAAAAGGCCTACTAAACAGTAAGTGTTATATAAATGATTAGCTATTACATTTGCATTTATTTAGGTCAGCTTTTTTCTTGTTATGTTTGAAAGTACTTCTAATATGTATTATTTTAAAGGTAAAAAAAAATTTTTTTTATTAGTTACGAGTAGCTTTGGAATAAATACCCTAAACTCATGAAAACAAGAGTAAAACGTTGCTATGAGGCTACAGTATATTTACTATATCAGTCTACAACAATAAATATTTATTGAATGAATGTGTTTTTCAAGCTCTGGATCATGACCTATTAGTGGATGGGAAACTGACTTAGTGGACTACAACCTGCACCAGAATAAAACCTTCATTCATTTAACAAATATCCATTATCTCCTATGTGTCAGGCCCATGAAATTCACTAGGTGAAAAACAAAAGATCCCTGTTTCCTTGGCATTTGGAATTCATTTTTTCCTTAGCCATGGAAATTAAAAAATCCAGAAGAGCAATAATTTTCTATTAATATCTCTTTTTTAAAATACTTCAAAACAAAATACACAACTGTGATCAGAAGTCATTATTGCTTAACAGTATTTTTTATAATTAATTTTAAATATAGCAACATTTTGCACACTCAAAATAGAAACATTTGAAGAATTCAAAGATTCTTCTATTAACATTATAATTAAAGTAATCAAAAAAAAATTTAGATGTGTATCAGGTTGTTAATATTTTGCATCTAGTCCACAAGTTTCAATTTTACTTTTCCTAACTTTAACTCTTATTTCTGTGGAGGAAAGAAGAGAATCTTTTTTTGTTTTTTGAGTGTAAGTTTCACTTTTGTTGCCCAGGCTGGAGTGCAATGGCACAATCTCAGCTCACAGCAACCTCTGGCTCCCGGGTTCAAGCGATTCTCCTGCCTCAGCCTCCTGAATAGCTGGGACTACAGGTGTGTGCCACCATGCGTGGCTGTTTTGTATTTTTAGTAGAGACAGGGTTTCGCCATGTTGGCCAGGCTGGTCTCGAACTCCTGACCTCAGGTGATCCACCTGCCTTGGCCTCCCAAAGTGTTGAGATTACAGGCATGAGCCACTGGGCCCGACAAATATTTCTTTTTTTTTAATTTGCTTTTTACTAGGAAAGAAAAGTAAATCAATGGTTTAGATACTCTGACTAAAGCTCTATTTTGCCTATGAAACAATCTTGCAGAATGTAGGATGTGCACATGTACCCCAGAGCCCAAAGTATAATAATAAAAAAAAGCTCTATTTTGAAAGCATTTGTCAAAAGCATTCAATGCTATATATGAAAAGTGTTAGGTAAAAGAGTCAGGAGAAATGCTAAAGGAACAATGTTGTATAGTTTTCATAGTTACTACACTTGTTTGATTATTAATACTTCTTTTTTTCCTTTTTTGTTTCAGGACGGAGTCTCGCTCTTCACTCTTCACCCAGGCTGGAGTCCAGTGGCATGATCAAGGCTCTCTGCAACTTAAAGGTCCTGGGCTCAAGCGATTCTTCCACCTCAGCCTTCCAGGTATCTGGGATTACCAGTGTCTGCCATATTCCTGGATGATTTTTTGCATTTTTTATAGAGATGGGATTTTGCTATGTTGCCTAGGCTGGTTTCCAACCCCTGGGCTCAACCACCCATCTCAGCCTCCCAAAATGTTGGGATTACCTTGCCCACTTTCTTTTTTCTTAAGGTATCTTTTCAGTGACCTTTTTTGGATATGTCAGATCTATTATCTTTCTCCTTCAATGGTCAGGTAACACCGTTATCCTCCTAAGGAAATAGTTACTTTTCAACATACAGTTGATGGAATTTTCCTCAAGGGGCTGGGCTTAGTGTGAAGATGCCTTTACTGCAGCAATAACTCCAGGTTTCATGGTTTTATTTGTGAATGACAGAAAACAGTTATGAATTATGTTAGTAGATTTCATAATTTTTCCTGGCAGGATAGATAAAAGGTTCACTGGAATAAATTTGTAAACCTTACAATGTTTAGCCTGTGAATATATTATTTTTTCAATAATAAGATGTTCCTCAGAAGAAACACATCTTTAAAATGAGGTAAGAAACAGGAAAATCTGTGAAGAAAAGGCCACTACTGTCCACTTGCCAAGATAACTAAGTTCCAACAAATATCAAAATCATAGAAACATTCTATCCATTTTTTGCCTGAGGCAATCCAGTTCTGGTGGGAGATTTTTCAATTTGTTTTTAGCTATTGGTTAATGTACTGAATACATATTTGTTAAATAATTTTTATAGTGATACATACAAGTTTTCTTGTTGCAATGGTGCTTTTCTGTTTTTGCACGTTTCATGAGTAAAAAGAGATTATGTTCTCTAGGATCATTCCAAAGTTTTAACAATCTGAATCCAATACTGACCTGTGACTAATGACACCAGCATCTGCCAGCAGTTCAAATATTCGTACCAGTTGTACTCGTAAAATGTCTCGACGCCTGCGCCGTTTCATATTCTATTCCAAAGACACAATGATGTTAATTAAAATCTTGCTCATGTAACTTGGAAAGAATAGTGTGAATGTCTTAAAGAGAGCTTTTTGGCTCATCAAAGTTATTTTGCTTACACAGTGTAGACTGTGGGTCGTCCCGCAGCTACTGCCTCAAAGATATGTGTGAACAGTTTGAAATGCATGAGCCAAATAAAGTCACATGGCATCTTACATGGTGACAGCCCCTTTGTGTCAGGGGAAGTAAAATACTATATTTTTAGGTTATTTGCTAATCAGACAGTTTTGGAATTGAAGCAATTAGTAAACTGTTATCATGGAATAATAAAGAATCCCTAACACCTTTCCAAATACATGACAGAAGTGTAGGGAAAACAGTCCTAAAAAGGAGTTAAGACTTTGCTCATGCCACAGTTTTCCAGTTAACAATTTTGGCGCAAAAAATAAAAACAAAAACAAGAAAAACTCCTTTACTCATTATGATATGAATAAATATATTTGTATTACTTGAGCCAAAGAACTAGAATAATGCCTAGAAGAATAACTGTAATATTCAACTTGATTCTGCTTATAGCAGAAAGTCATGTAAGATACTGATCAGCTATATCACCTTCTATTATAGCTCATTATTTCACTTGTGATATAATTTTCACATTACTGAGCAATTAACATATTTACTAGTCTTCCACTTTCCTGTCAATAACTCAATTTTTCTGCCTTCCACATGCATGATAATTTACTGACGACCAATCAATTACATTTACTTTTCTCTGGGTTCTTTCTAAAGTTGACAGCAATTCATTTGGAACAGGACGATTTCTTATCAGTCTTTGAAGATTTCTAAAACTGGTTTTTGCAGTTTGGTTGGCCTGTTTTCATTTTGTCTTCACAGAAAGAGTGTGAGTATAAAGCTCTTACACTGTAACTCACATTCAAGGCACATCACTGTAGCGTTTAGTAACTTTCCTTCTGAAATTCAGAATAAAAAATACTGCTATTTTGTTTTGTTTCAATCTCACATTTCTCTAATAAGTCATCCAGCACTGTAACCAAACTGATCAATCTGAAATGAAAATCAAATCAATGACAAAATGGGAATACTATCATGACCCTACAGTGCTGAATTAAAGGAGAGTAAGGAACTCCAGATGATGTTTCAAAGTCCCTAAGCTAAAGCGATTGTCACCATCTCCTCAGGGGATCCCCAACATTAACAGCACTGATTCTCAAATGTTCTACAGCAGACTCATCTAAGATGCTTTACAAAAATAGACTTCTGGACCCTACTCTGTGGATTTTCATTCAATAGGCCCATGAGTCTAAAATTTTTAGCAAGTTCCCCAGGTGATTCTCAGATGCCACACGCACAGGAACTACTGGTCTACTGGTTAAAGCTAAAACTAGTAGTTTTTTGTGAGATAGTTCTCATCTTGCTACCCAGCCTAATATTCAATCACTTCCCCCATAATACAATTATACAGAAAAATTTGCAATTTCAAAATTCTTTGTGAAGTTTGCAAATGCTGTTCTTCGCCTAGAATACCTTTCCCTTGCTTGTCCACGGGGAAACGTGCTTCAAAATTAATCTCAAGTATCAGCACTTCATCTGTTATTATGGAATAATAAAGAATCCCTAACACCCTGCAGCGAGAATCCCAGGCTTTCTTCTCTGTAGTTCTTAGATTCCCTTCTCTATGATTTTGAGTGCACAAGAAATTGTCAGAATTAAGGTTTTCATAACCATCTGTCTCACTAGACCTATAGTTTCTGAAAGTTACTCAGAACCTACAGGTTTGGGAATCTAGACTCAGGCCTGTGAAGCTACAGCCCATGGGCCAAATCTGGCCCACTGCTACCTGTCACTGCAAATAAGGTTTTACTGGAAAACAGCCACACTCCATTTTTTACGTTGTCTATGAATGCTTTCATGCTACAAAGGTGGAGCTGAGTAGCTGCAACAGATACTATGGCCTGTAAAGCTGAAAATATTTACCATCTGGTCCTTTACAGAAAAAGTTTGCCAACCCCAATCTAGACCCTATTTTCTACCCTCACTTAAGCTACAGCAATTTTTCATCCATTTTACATAATTGGTTTCTGCATAAAATTTTCTGGGGGGAGGGGAAGTGTCTGTATCTTAAATAGGAGAATGCACTAGATAATCTCTCTTGAATTTCTAACTTTTCGTATAACATGTAAATATAGCAGAAAAATAAGTTCACTAACAGAGACTACAGAACACAGCTCACCTCTGGCCTTCTTTCGAGTGCTTCTTTAATTATGGGATGTAATTCCTCTATTAGTTCCCTAGAAGAAAAATGGTACATATTCTATTAATAGACACACAGATATAATCTGACGTGCAAATATGCAAAAACATGATGTAAACTGACAAGTTTTAATTTGAATTCAACTGTTTTAAACACAGTGTCTATTGTTTTATTTTGCTTATAACACATTATATTTGGAAACCAGAAAAAAAAATTATATCGGCCCCTTAATTTAATTTCTAGGGATAAATACTACCAATATTTTTATTCAATCAGTTTGCAATCCACATATGTCTTACTTAGTTGAAACTACTTTATATAAAATGGTATCCTTTTCTCTCTTCCTACACTAACATAGTTAATTTTATATGCCAATAATTAATTCATGATATTCGAACATAGGGTGGGATACTATTAATTTTCCTAGACATTTTCATTTATTAATGAATCATTAAATTTTATCTAATTTTCTCTTACTAAAAATATTGTCTCAGTAAACAACTTTGTACATTTTCAATGTCTTCATTTCTGACTATCTCCTTAGGATTAACTTTACAAATGAAATTAATGGGTCAAAGGGTATAAACTTTGTAAAAATGACAAATTTTGCTTTATTTATATTTTGATTTTAAATGGAAAATATGCTTATTTTAAGATTGGGAAATTTTGAAAAAACACAAAACAAACAAAAAAATCAGCCACAATTTAATCATGTATCAAAAACTGCTGATGTTTAAAAGTATCTGCCTCCAAACTGTTTCTAATTATGAGAATTTAATTATTTTAAGTTGAGATCACTTTTACATCCTATTTTTTTCAATTAGTACAAAAGTGTATTTATCTGTCATTCCAATTTTAGTATATGTGCTGCCAAAGTGAGCACATAAGTGTATTTATCTGTCATAAAATCCTTTTCCAAAACTTTATTTACAAGGAATGCTATCCCATACCTATAATTACAATTTATTAATGTATTCTTTTTTATTTATTTTAATGAAATGTTCCTCTCCATGAAAATCTTTAGCAAAAGGCAAAAGATTTATAGAATCTGAAGAGAAATCAGAGTATTAACGTATTCTTTGGTTATCATGGAGACAAAACATCAAATACCATTTCATGTTAATCAAGGAAATTCTCAAAAGAATAAACTCAGGGCCCAGAAGGCAACAGGGCAGAATCTCAGCCAAAACAGAAGAATTTGCTTCATTAATACAAAAAAACATGAATGATATCAAACATCTATGTAAATGCTTTTTGAAAGATATTCTAATTCTCTTGGATAAGAAGAGGGAAAGCCAGAGTTTTAACTACTAGGCCAAGATTACACATTAACAGAATGACTATATAAATAAATAGAGTAGGAAAATATTTAAGATTTATATGGCATTTCATTATTTCTAGAACATATAGGTAAGTTTTAATCTGCGCAATCAAAATGAGGAAATAAAACTTCCAATAAATGACTTGTTAAATGTTACATGGCTAGTTAACTGGTAAAAGTCAGGCCTGTTATGTGACTATCCCAGTAGGTACTCTGCTTGATCCAACCACACCTTCTAAGTAGCACATTTATTCTTTTAATGCATATAAAAAACCTAAGAACATAGTTACCTAAAAGCTCCTGGGTTGGTTCTGCCAAGACCTAGAACAAGGGATTCTGTGATTTCCATGCTCTCAGAGCGCATCATTGGAACTATGTGCTTAAACAAGGATGAAGGGGATGGGATTCCAATAATCTGGAAAAAAAAATATATTTTTAACAGCCACTAATGATACTATGTCCAATTAGATAATCTGAGATTTCAGTAGTCTTAGGTCAATGATAAATTGACAGGTGAAACTTTACTATGAATGATACCCGAAATTTCACCTGTGGTGTACATAAAAAGTTAAATAACTTGTCCAATGGCTTAATGCAAGTTCATTAACAGAACTTGGGACTCCTGATTTCTTACAGACATTCACTATCACATAATAGGCTGATTCTCTTCATCAGATACTCTGTACCTTTTGATTCATGAACATGAAGAAAACAAAATGACTTCTAAAATAGTCACCAGTGTTAAAGTCAGACATTCTGGTCTTCAGTTTTGTCAGTTTCATGAAAACTAAACCACTGCTCTTACCAAGTACCCTTTAGATCACTACATGATTTAGGGAAATTCTAGAAAGGTGTTTCATTATTTAAATGATTCCTTTTGGGTTTGGAGAAGTGTGAGAACTATAGGAACTGGAATAAGGGAAAACAGGTATGACAATTTCTCTAATAATATTCAGAATGATGAACTGAATGAGCATGGGTATTTCTTTCCAATGGAAAACTATGTATGCCTTATTGATTCTAACTAGGAATCCATAAAAACAATGATTTGGCTTCCTTGAGGTATTTTCCTTTTTTGCAAGTAAGTAATACACTTTCAACCGAGTTACTTTATAGTCCATAAAAAGAAATTTTAAAACCTTATTTTTATGGGGCCACTCAGATTTCATAGATCCCACAGTGGATCTGAGAAACTTACTTTAGAATCAATGCTATAGCCGCTATCTGGGGTAGACGCCAGCGTCTCAGGAGGAGAACATCTCACAGAACCTGCAGATGTGGAAGATGACGATGTTGCTGCACTGCAGCAAAGGATCAGATAGTTTCTCCACAGGCCAATGTATGAGTCACTGCTTGTGGTGGTGTTTACTTTCTTAGCATTGATGGGGCTACTAAGGAAAACAAAAGAAAAAAACAGACAGATATGAATAGCACATGCTTTTAAAAGTTTGTTTTAACTAATGCTAAATTTTTCTTTCTTTTGTTTTTGAGACAAAGTGTCACTCTGTCACCCAGGCTGGAGTGCAAGTGGCACGATCTTGGCTCACTGCAACCTCCACCTCTCCGGCTCAAGGGATCCTCTCACCTCAGCCTCCAGAGTAGCTAGGACTATAGGTGTGTGCCACCATGCCCAGCAAATTTTTTGCATTTTTGGTAGAGATGAGGTTTCGCCATGTTGCCCAGGATGAGCTCAGATGATCCACCTGCCTCAGCCTTTCAAAGTGCTGGGATTACAGGCATTAGCCATCGCGCCTGGCCTAATGCTAATTAGGGAGATGGTAGGCATAAGGTTTTTATTACTAGTGCTGTCTTTGTGGACTGATATCAATTAATAAAATACTAGATTAAAATTAAAACATATTACCAGATCATTTTAACATTATTAGTCCTGTGATAAAAGTTATTATTTTATTGGGCCATATTTTATAACTTATGGATACTCAAATAGAAAGAAAATAAAATCAAAATCACCTTTAATCCTACATGAAAATAAACACTGTATATCCTATATATCTTTAATTCATACACATGAACCATAAATGCATGAATAGATCTCTTTTAATTTATTAAAATTAAATGTTTATTTTGTAACTACTTTTTAAACTTATGTATTTTTCACCTCTCTATGTAAATATACTTCTGTGACATTATTTTGATTAACTACATGCTCAATCAATATATAAAGTATATTCTATATAACCAAACTCTCACTGACATTTTAGTTAATAGCATTTTTCCCTATTATACACAATACTATATATTTGAATATACTTATTTTCTTAGGTACTTCTTGAAAATGAAATCACAGAGTCAAAGAAGATGCATATTTTCAAGCCTTCTGCCAAATTCCTGTCTTGAAAGATTATACCAAGAAAATATTTTGAAACAATTTCATAAATCTTTTCAAATACCAAAATTGTTAGTTAAAAAAAAGCAAAACGAAAGAGGAAAAATACTAATATACAATCCTTGCCTTCAACAAGTTTTGTAATATGTTAAGTAATGCAAATACACCACTTCGTTAATTCAACAGGAGTACTGTATAACAATGTCATACTATGTTAGAAAATGATCCAAGCACTGGTAACAAATCAGTTAAAAACAGCTGACAAAAGATCACAGGTGGGCCATGGGACACACACAATAAAGAAACAAACAAAACAATGTCAGATGGCTAAGTCTGATGAAGAAAAATAGAGCAGAAAGGGAAAATAAGGAATGCTAGTAGGAGATGGGGTTATAATTTATAATATGGTAATTAGTGAAGGCTACTTAAGATAAGGTCATTAGCTGCCAGGAGTAGTGACTTATTATGCCTGTAATCCCAGCACTTTGGGAGGCCGAGATGGGGGGAATCACCTGAGGTCAGTAGTTCAACACTAGCCTGGTCAACATGGTGAAACCCCGTCACTACTAAAAATACAAAAATTAGCTGGGTATGGTGGTTCATGCCTGTAATCCTAGCTACTCGGGAAACTGAGGCAGGCGAATCACTTGAACCTAGGAGGCAGAGGTGGCAGTGAGCTGAGATCTTGCCATTGCACTCCAGCCTGGGCGACAGAGCGAGACTCTATCTCAGAAAAAAAAAAAGATAAGGTTATCACTGGTATGCAAGGTGGCAAATGCCAATCTTTTTTTTTTTTTTTTT